AAAGAAATGTATTAAGGAAATAAAAAACAGCCCAACCACTGATTAATGTTAAATAAATTGTGCCAATTTTATTGCTTCCCAAGTGAATTTTAATGGCTAGGAACATTATAGCATAATAAGAGTGCCCCGGCCATCCAGGGCACACATCCTGTGGTTCTCAGCAGGCACCAAGATGCATCACACAGTTACTGCCCTCCATGAAATTCACCTAAATTTACCTAAAATGTGATTAAAGTTACTTCTTACAAATAAGTATGAATTGTTAAACTTCTTAACATGTTTGTAACTTCAACTTGGAGTTTCTCTTAGAATTATATTTCATTAAATGACTACCACCCTAAATTTGCTTTGCTTTCATTTAACATGGCTGCCTTTTAATTGGTACTAGTATTCTAGGGCTTGTATTAGCTCTTTTCATAACCTTCTACTAAGTGTATTATTTCTTTTAAAATAGAGAAATTATAATACATGCAATATTTGAAGTGGGATCTAATGAATGCTGAGCAGAATGAACTAACGCCTTGTTGACTCACGTGTATGCTCCTCTAGATTATACAGAAAAAAACAGCAAGAGTACTAACACACCCAGCTACACAGAGTGACTGAGTCATCACTTCAACTAAATTCTCGAAGAATGAGAGCTGCTTTGGTTTTTTAAAAAAGGTCAGCTGGGGTTAAGAAGAAAGCAAATACTTTCTACATCATGTGAAGCAAAATTGGCTTGCACCATATGGGTTAGTTGTAATGTTCTGGATAAATTATGCTTAGCTGCAGGAAAAAAATACATTCATGAATAGTTTTTAAAATCTGCCTATAGAAGAAAATAAGTAAGCCAAATTAGGCACAACTATATTTTTCTTATAGTTTCCAGATCACCTTTTCTTACCTCTCTGGGCATTCACTCCCACTTTAGGCAGTTAATGCCATGTAGTTCTTCTTACCAACCTCCCCGCATTAAAAGAGAGAAAGATCTAACCCATCATTTATATTATTCACATTTGTATATATAGGATTTCTAATGTTGCGTTTTAAATCTCTTATTCTTATTTAAAACAGTTCATCCTTATTTAAACACTTTTAAATATAACCAAACAATTGGAGTCTGAACAAAAACCAATCTCTCTGAGAACAGAAAAAAAAAAAAAAGAAAAAAAGAAAAGGATAAAGAGTGCCATTTTGTTTAAATTTAATTTTAATGATGTTATTCCTGCCAGCAAAAATCCAGGCTAAGCAATAAACAGGTTATTTTGGAACTGAGAAAGCTGGGAAGTGGGGGAAAAAAAGAACAAAACCAGCCAAAAACTATCTTTTTTCCTCGGTTGCCCAGGGTGTCCTGGTGGCCTAGAACAATACATAAGGAGACCTAGTCAGTCTATGGCTGAGAGAGTTTTACTCCTGGGAGTTGCTAAGAACATGGCCCACATCCTTTCTCACAGGCTTCTTACAAATCGTCAAAACTATCTCGACACCAAGACACCTCTGTTTTCTCTTGGCCCTTTCGTTTGCCCTTCTCCTTTCCTAACATTGGTTAGAGAATGATGTCTATTAAGTTACTGGGAAGATGAGTGCCCGGCTAGCTCAGTCGGTAGAGCATGAGACTCTTAAATTACTGGGAAGAAAAGAACAGCGTACCTCTTCACATGTTCCAAGATTCCTCTGTGTGCGCGCGTGTGTGTGTGTGTGTGTGTGTGTGTGTAAATAAATAACTGCGCATAATTTGTACACTGTGTTAATTAAATATTTGGGATATGATTCTAAATAATTTAATCTCTGCTAATCTAACACAGAATTTTTTCTTTGTTATTTCTATGTCGGGTAATAAAGTTTCTATAAAGAAATATATTTCTGAGACGCTTCTATTTTATTATTGAAGTATTTTTCAGTATCGAACTAACCATTCCTCATCTTCTATCTACTATTTGGTTTTGATCTCTAAATCAGGGGTCCTTAATCTTTTTAAAAATCTTTAGTCTAGGGCCAGCCGAGTGGCTCAGTTGGTTAAGAGCTTGCTCAAGACTGCGAGCTCTGAGCAACAGGGTCGCCGGTTCGATTCCCACATGGGCCTGAGCTGAGATGGCTTAGCTAAAAAATATAATAAAAATTTTTTTAAATAAAAATCTTTATTCTATTTTGAGAAAGCGTGAAAGCTATGAATCTTCTCTAGAAAACTGCAAACATACACAAAATTTTGTATAGAGATTGAGCTAAAAAAATTTTCTGAGGTCCATCAATGAGACCCAGGGTTAAGAATCTCTTCTTCAAGTGAATTTAAGAGCCTTGCATTTGTTCCTGTTAAAATAATTTTGCTAAAAATGAACATTTTTTCAATTTCTAAGATCCTTTATTATACCATTCATTTTTTTTCTGAATAACTACACACTAAAATTTCTTCTATTTGTTGATTAAAAAGGAAAAAGTAAGGTAAACTATAATAGACTACCTATATAATTTGATGTTTTCTTCCTTGTCTCACTCAGCTCTTTTTGTTTGCTAGGAAGATCTACAAATATCCAATGCAGATACAATCTATACATGTCCAAAACATGCAACAGCTACATATTCCTGGGCATTAGAATTCCTCGGCATTATAATTTAAAAACTTAACTGAAAGCTAGATGTTTCACATATATGAAAATACACTGTTCCTGGAGAAATTTTTCCAGGGCCTACCACATTGTTTTGTACATAGTAAGTGCTCAATAATTTAAGTAAAATGGACAACATATATGGAATGGAGTCAGAACAGTCATCAGGAATTATTTTCTTACCTTATACATGAACTTCATAATTTAGCAATGTAAGTCACACGGTAGAATCAACTGTAATTTTATAGTCATCCCTCACATCAAAAACCCAAACTATAATATTTAATTTTAAGTTTTAAAATTTAAGTTTCAAATTATTCCAACTCTGTCCTTATATTTGTAAAACTCTGATGGTTTACATATATGAAAACATGCTAACAATCCACTATCAAAGGGTCTGTAATGTACTTTTCCTCTTGAATTGAGGGCTTTGTTGATAATTGTGACCTACCTTGGGACTAAGTTCACTTTATAATGTAGCTGCTACTGGTTGAGACCTTTGATCAGAAAATAAAGATAAATGGCTTAAACAGTGATCAAATCTGTTCAGGCCTTATTTATTAGCATAATGCTTTGATATGAGGTGTGATCACAAAATACGGTGAATGTTCAAATTAAAAAAACAATTATTACAATAAGAGATACATTGCCATTAATCCCCCTCAAAATACTCCCCCTCGCTTTGAACACACTTATCCTATCGTTCTTGCCACTTTCTGAAGCAGTTCTGGAAGTCCTCTTTCATGAGTGTCTTCAGTTGTGCTGTTGTGGCTATTTCGATGTCCTGAATCGATTCAAAACGTTTTCCTTTCATGGTCATTTTGACTTTGGGGAAGAGCCAGAAGTCACACGGTACAGTGCCAGATCCGGTAAATAAGGTAGATGAGGACACACCGTAATTTTTTATTTGACAGAAATTGTCGTACCAGAAGCGATGTGTGACACCGAGCCTTTGTGACCAAAAAATATGGTGAATGCTGCTGCCAAGTGCCATCCAACAGAAAGGCAAGGATCTTCAATACGGAAAGCGGTACGTTGAAATTTACTAACAGTGTGTAACAAGTTTCAACTTGTTGGGTGCAGTCAGTCGGGTGTGAGCCACGGCTGAGAGAAGGTGTGTTTTCAAGTGTGCCATAAATCATCCTCCATCATGACAACGCTCTGTTATCCCTTCTGGTATACAGCAATTTCTGTCAAATAAAAACATTACAGGGGCGGCCGGGTGGCTCAGTTGGATATAGCACGTGCTCTCTGAGCAACAGGATTGCCAGTTTGATTCCCACACGAGCCAATGAGCTGCGCCCTCCACAACTAGACTGATGACAACGAGTTGAGCTGAGCTGCAGCTGAGCTGCCGGTGGGCGGCCGGATGGCTCAGTTGGTTAGAGCGTGTGCTCTTAACAACAAGGTTGCTAGTTCGACTCCCGCATGGGATGGTGGGCTGTGTCCCCTGCAACTAGATTGAAAACAGCAACTGGACTTGGAGCTGAGCTGCACCCTCCACAACTAAGATTAAAGGACAACTTGACTTGGAGCTGATGTGTCCTGGAAAAAACACACTGTTCCCCAATAAAGTTTAAAAAAATATATATTTGAAAAAACAAAAACATTACAGTTTGTCCTCATCCATCTTATTCACCAGATCTGGCACCATCCCTGTGACTTCTGGCTCTTCCCCAAAGTCAACATGCTTTAGATCATGGAGGCAGCCACCACAGCACAACTAAAGACACTCCCAAAAAATGATTTTCAGAACTGCTTCAGAAAGTGGCAAGAACGATGGGATAAGTATGTTTGAAGCGAGGAGGGATATTCTGAGGGGAATTAATGGCAATTTGTCTTTTACTGTAATAACCTTTTTTATTTAAACATTTACCGTATTTTTTATCACACCTTGTATAATACCCTATATCTTTACATAAAGCTCTTTTAAAAAAATCTCAAAAACTAGCACAGAATATTCAATAAACGTTTCTGCTGTTGTTTATGCAAATGACAGCCACATTAAAATATTAAAAATTTAACGTGTAGTCATAGCTAAATTATCAGTTTAATCATAGAAAATCTTACATGACTTAATGTTTTAAAAACAAATTCTATTTCTATTAATACAAGTCTACTTAATCCAAATGAATATATATTTATCCTTGATGTTTGCCCTTTAAGTTGATTACTTTTACAAGAGTTTCAGACAATTAAGTAATCACAGTGTCTCTAGAATGTCATTTTTAGAGACCTTTATCACTCAGTGAAAATACTACTTCAAATGATATTTTCATGTTAAAAATTCAGCCTAAGAATTAGTTTAGTCAATTATATTCACTATCAATAAAAATTTAATATTAAAACATTCACACTGTCCTGAGATAGTACTTCATGTTGGAGATACGCTTAGTCCTAATGTAGAATTCTTACCTGTAATGTACATGTGTGACTCTTGGTTTTCTGTATCCAAGGATCCAGGTTTGAATATCTATGGGTTCAGCTTTGGGATAAGCTATGGTTGTATCTATTATCCACTGGAGGCCTTTCGATTTGCTGTCTGAGAACAAAGAAAAAAACAACTTAAAACTGAATCAATTTTTATATTATTTACAACAAGTAACATAGTATAGATTACTTGAGGAGAGTATAAAGCATATTGACATACTTTCTTAAGAAAACAGGATGAATTTTGGTGTTACTGTTCTATATGATGCACTTAGGATGAAAATAAGCATTTCCTATTATATTATAAAATAGATGAGTCCCTAACAAATTAAAAAATAACAGCACTGTTATTTATTGGACATGCATCATTCAAGTATTCAATACAATTATGCACCATCAAGATCTAATATAAATATTTTATCACTCACAAAAACTGGCCTATGAAAAGGTCAGAAGCTGAAGTATCACATCACAACAGTGAAAAACAGACCTCAAAACCAAACAAAAACATCCACTAAATGTAACACAATATAATATGAACACCAATGTTTGTGATACCTGGGAGCCACTGATAAATATTGAAATAAGGCAATAAAATTAAGCATTTTATTAATGCACATGATTGTCAGTTGTTGCTCTTCGTTTAAAACAAAACAGAAAAATTCCTCCCATTTTAGCAAGAGTTACATAGAAATAAAGGAGTAAACTTGTCTGCCCTTGGTAGGTACAGCAGATAATAACTATTGTTGTGCGAGGGAATGGGGACGTTCTGTTAACTTTGGTCCTTTGCATGCTGTTTTTATTGCCAGCATGGAGTACAAAGTTGACGAAGAGTTGAGGGGAGGATCCTTGAGAGAATGCTGATAGCTAGACTTTAACAGGTAATGGTCTACCCTTTGTTTGAAGTGTTTAAGAGATCCCTAAAAAATAAAACTTATTTTCAAACATAAGTCCAAATGTACATTAGGAATCAATGATATTTGACTTGTGTATGTCAAATAATTACGAACTGGCCTTAAATTCTTTAAGAAATTTAGACAACATCCTGAAAGGAAAATAATATCTGTAAAAGTAATAAGTAAAAAAAAAAAAAAGTTTTTAAATAACATATTGCTAAAAGAACAGAGTTTATGTAACAAAACACATTTTGACAAGCTCCCAGTGATGTACATGCTGAAATGTATACTGATGTTTGCAACTTAGATTGAGATGCATTAAAAAAATAAAACTAAGATGAACTAATAGATGGATAAAAGGATGGAGAGAGATATGATAAAACAAATGCAGTAAAATGTTAATTATAGAATCTAGTTGGTCAGCTCATGGATATTAACGGTAAAATTCTTTCAACTTTTACATATGTTTGAAAAATTTTATAATAAAATCATGGGAGACAATCAGAGTTTAGTTTAGTATCTATTAAATCATACAATCAATAAACAAAGAAAAAACTAATCCTTTTAATCAGATCCAACTCAATTTTGATATGTATATGGATCACATATTAAAAGACACAAAATTGGGCCAGCCAAGTGGCGCATTGGTTAGGAGTTGGCTTGGGATGCCAGCTCTGAGCAGCAGGGCCCCGGTTCAGATCCCACATGAGGGCCAGTGACGGTGTACCCTCTACACCTAAGATGGTGAACAACAGCTCAACCTGGAGCTGGGCTGCTGTGAGTTGCCAGCAACGGCATAGGCTGTCGTGAGCCTCTGTGAGTGGCCGTCCAATGGCCGGCGAGCAACTGCCTCA